TCATATTCCGTCAAATGATTGGGCCATGGGATAAACCACTCAACTCATGGCCCATCCACTAGTCCATGGTACGTGCTACATGTCAAAACATGGAGCATGTCGGGTTGGGCCAACTACGATTTATTTTATTTTATTGGTACTAGTTTTTTTTTTCTTTCTCGTATAGTTTATAAATTGAAATCCATAATTTGAAAGTTTGATATTTGGACAGGATTTTTAGCCGGGCTGATGGTTTAGATAGCTGGACAGGGACACAGCCCTAATACCAGTGCCAGCCCATGCCACAGGTGGGTTACTTTCACATACCGGGGACAGCATTTTGTCGGCCCAGTTATGTGCCACCACATGGCACAAGCTGAAGTGGCCCATGGACAGTCCTAATGCCACTATCACTCAAATTCACATAGTCATGTACTTCAAAGCTGACATATATACAATAAATGAAGAAGGAGAGAGAATGAGAGTGAACCAGTCAATAGTGATGATTGTTTGTGCAGATGATTTTCTCCAACATTTGATGTGGTTGGAAAATCTTGACTGCCAAGGATGACACAAGTTCCCCAAAGTAGTGTGAGAAGCAAGATTGTTGTTCCGGCTAGCAACCCAACTGCGGTTTGCACGTACTCTTGAGGACCCTCTCCTTTGTCCACAAGTCCAGATGCTGAGAGAAAGACAACCAAAAAAAAGAAAAGGAAAAGAAAACAAAATATATTAGAAGCAATTTTTTTAATACACGATACAATTAATAAACAAATCAGGTATAAATAAAATTAATTAAAAGAAATATACGATACGATTCGTTTAAATATTAATTTTATATAATTCATATACGACACAAACCCGATATAATACAATTCGTTAGACATGAATTAATAACCGAATCAGATATATGTAGAGTATTTTTTGATACAAACTTACCCAACCCAACACGATTGACAAGTCTACTGACTCCATGAAGATGTGTTAATAATTTTTAAGTTTTAAAATGTTAAAATAGGAGGAAGGAGCATTAATTAATAATACATAAATACTTGGTGTCCATGTCAAGTTCCTCACACCTCGACTAGCCGATCCAGCTGGTGTTGATAATTTCAGAAGGGCACAAACTACAAACAAACCATTGACTAAGAAAGAAGTACTAACCATCCTCATATTTTTTTGAATAATACTATTTAAATTTAAAAGTTTGATTAAATTTATAGACATAAGAATGTGACTTCAATAAACTATTGGATTAACAACAAATTCTAATATTTGATGGTTTCATAATCAATTCAAAGGTCATAATGAATTACGTTATTAAATTAAATTAATAAATTAAATTTCAATAGAATTACTCTATTTTTCTTTATTGCGTACCCCATAAGTAAGGCCTACCAATATTGACCTAGTCCACCGCCAGGCATCAATTGATATGTGGAAAGTCTAACTACATCTATGTCATGGAATAGTATTAGACATTGAAAATAAGTTGATAAAATAAAAGACCAAACTGACAAAACTCTTATACTTTAGGGGCAAAAATATTATTAACAGCTAAACACTGGGCAAAAAAAGAAGAAAGAAGAAAGTAAACATACCAAGAAGAATTAAGGACTCAGGAAGGGCACCAAGGATCTGGAATGCACTTGCACCAAACACACCAGGACCAAGAATCTTGAATATTCTCTCTCCTCCAGTAATCACATAGGACTCTCCATGAAATAACAGGTATTCATACACAACTATGAGGAAGAGATGACCCATAAGACTGTATGAGCACGGCAAGAACCCGTACATTTGCTCGCACCGATCCTGCTCCGACGAAAAATCCATTCCTCTGAGGAGTAGAAAAGAGGGTTCGTCGTCTTGAACACGATCGACGCCATCAGAAACGAACTCAGATGAACTGTACTGTTGTAACAATCTTCCGGTCACCTTGAGGGTTAATAGAGAAAGAACAAACAAAAAAGATGCAGTTCTTTTCCCAGAATTCCCCATTTTTCTGTGGTGATGATAGGGAGAGGAGGATGCAAGATAACTAGCTAATTGAACTTATAAATTTGGTTATATAGTATGGTTATTATATCAGGCTGACTGGCAGGAGAAAAAAAAGAAGTCATGTTGACAAAGTCTTGTTGATCATAAGTCAATGAGTGCTTATACATTTGATGATGTGGGTGATGGCTTGTCAAAATTCAAGTTGGAATAATGTAATTGAAAAAATGCACACTCTTAACGTGCCAAAATAAGACTGATTAAACAAGAGGTTTCTTGCAAGTTAATACTTGACAAAGGTGTCGATCGGTTCATTAGTCAAATAAGGGATGACATATACACGAGCTTGAAGCTCGAATTCTTCAGTGTGTATATAGAATCAGAGTTTAGCTTATGTGCATGACTTGCAGATGACTATCTCTATCTCCAATCTGAGGTTTGAACTTTGCAATAATGAATATGAAGAGTACGTGGCTGACACGATTCGAAAAAAAAAAAAAATTCTTGACATGATGAGCTAGTCTATTTTTAGACCATTGACCAGCTGTACGGGAAGCTTCATACCCATGTGGTTTTCTTGTATCTCAAGCCTCCATCAACTTGTTCCCTGACTGGCTGCTCTTTTCCTGATTGCAAATTGAGCCACACATACATGTGTGATATTGTCTATAATATTTGTTATTAGATGTCATCGTTCATGATAAACAAGTTTGAATATGCTTGTGTAATATATATATATATATATATTAGCCAATAAACTTTGTGAGGCAATTGTTGAAGTATCTTTGGTCATAATGGATTAGGTTAAAACTTCACCAAATTTTAGAATCAAGTGGTTGGCTAGCAAGAAGCCACAATCCAGAAAATAAACCAAGGCTGCTGAGCAGGGAAAAGGACGAAAAAAGGATTAAGCCTAGCAGGTTCCGTATTTGTTTTTAGAAATACTCCGTGTACCAACTAATGTTAACACATGCTAAGCACCGGGACTGTTTGTTTGAAGTATTAAAGTGGTACAAATAGGTGGTATTAGGAAAATAGTGTGTAGAATCCACCTTATATCTCGTTTGTTTGACATTTTATTATTAGTATTATTTTTTGGATCGTAATATCAACCCGACATGAACAGTGACTTAAATGCCTTGTATACGATACTATTGAATACCACCTACTAAGTGATATTATCTTCCCGGTACAAATGAAAGGACGGTATAAGAAACTAAAATGATACAAATGCCCTCATGTACAATTGTCTTTTTAAGTTTACAAGATTATAATTGTCTTTTTATCACCCATAGTTATAAATGTTGATTTTTTTAAGTAGGTATTACAAAAATAATGTTTGTGACAAACAAACAAGGAAAATAATGAGATTATAGTTTAAGGCCAAGTATAATATACCATTGAATAGGAATAGAATGAAAATGATTTCTAATACCACTCTAATCTAATACTCAAAACAAACAACCCCGGATGTTTAATCCGTGTTGGTGGGACTCTTTAATCTAACGCCTCATGTTAACTGTGAAAGAGATTTGATACAAAATACATGGACAAGACCAGTTAGTTGTGTGACATGATTAATGGACTTTTAATCTAATAGTACTCCTTATTTTATAAAAATTTTACCTTTTTTAAGTTAAGGGTTCAAGTCCCTCTCCCCATTCATTCTCTAAAAAAAAAAAAAAAAGTCGTGTGATATGCAATGGACAGCCCAGCTCAATCAAGAAGGTTATGAAGCCAAAATGCAGAAGAAAGTTTAAAAGAATAAATACGGTGTTGCTAACCGGCAATACAAAGTAATATAACAGTTATTCCACTAACCTTTAGACGGATCACGAGGGTTTCTTATTGTGGAATGTCAAGAGGTTCAGGCATAATTACTAATCTAGAAGAGCAAATCGTCACCGCAACACTAAGCACTAAATGACGTTACTCTTGTAGATCGAACTCTATTTAATAACTATATAGGAGTCAGAGATAATCCTAAATGGATATGAGTTACCACTAGACCACCTAGCTAATCTAATGATCAAATTTTAATTATTATTTCCTTTTTAAAAAGCTGGAATTATTTATAGAGCCTTAAATCCTTCATGTCTCTCCATAAAAAACTATGAAGCTCTCTCTACTTTTCTCTAAAAAATTCTCTCAATGGAATGGGCTGCGGGCTTACCGATGGGGGTCCATTCGAGGGCATCAATCCCGCACAGTCCTAATTCATGTCCATGTCCCTACATGCCAAGACACAAATACAATTAATACATAGCGGGCTGGCCCATGACCTGGTGATCCACCAGGCTGATGGATCAGATCATACGTCCCTGGCCATTGTTCCACCCTTACTTACACTTACCAATGGATCAATTTGTTACAAAGACAATGCTATTTAAACTTAAAATATTAACTTGATTAATCATTGTAATTGATTTAATTGGAAATTAAAATATTTATTGATACTNCGCGTTCCCCAGGAGAAGACAAGTTGAAAACTTTAGGGATTTGCATGATAATAAATGGTATCACTGAGAGAACCATAATTCTTGCAGTATAACTAGTCTCCATATCTGTCGTCACACCATTACCTGTATTGAAAAAGGGTGAACTGAAATAAAACAAACAACTCAACAAATGGTAACCCATTATTGTACCGTTAGTTCGATAAGATATCAAAAAGTCCAAAAAAAAAAAACTCAAAAACTTACAACTTTCATCCTCAAAAGTGGTAGACTTCACTCAAAAAATGATATATGAATTTTAAAGGTGTTTGCACCCCAAAAGTTAGTAGGACCCACCCAAAAAAAATTGTATAAAAAACTAAAAAAAATAATAAATGATAGGATACTGGAATTTTTTTTTTTTTCGAATTGTTAATCCTAACATTGAGTGTAACAGTTATACCATATCAACATTGTTAAGTGATTTAACAATCCAACGATAACTCACCAATTAAAAAACATGCACTCGACTTATCCAAATAACTATATCTTAATGTAAAATAGTGGGGTCACCTCACCCACTTATTTATTTAACGTTAAACAATTATACTATGTGATAATAGTGGAACCGTTATATCTAATTTTTTTTTGTTAAAGGGTCCAGGGCCCGTCAACGTGCGGAAATTTGGGCAGCCTTTAACGGGCTGGGCCAACTATAATTAAGTCATATTCCGTCAAATGATTGGGCCATGGGATAAACCACTCAACTCATGGCCCATCCACTAGTCCATGGTACGTGCTACATGTCAAAACATGGAGCATGTCGGGTTGGGCCAACTACGATTTATTTTATTTTATTGGTACTAGTTTTTTTTTTCTTTCTCGTATAGTTTATAAATTGAAATCCATAATTTGAAAGTTTGATATTTGGACAGGATTTTTAGCCGGGCTGATGGTTTAGATAGCTGGACAGGGACACAGCCCTAATACCAGTGCCAGCCCATGCCACAGGTGGGTTACTTTCACATACCGGGGACAGCATTTTGTCGGCCCAGTTATGTGCCACCACATGGCACAAGCTGAAGTGGCCCATGGACAGTCCTAATGCCACTATCACTCAAATTCACATAGTCATGTACTTCAAAGCTGACATATATACAATAAATGAAGAAGGAGAGAGAATGAGAGTGAACCAGTCAATAGTGATGATTGTTTGTGCAGATGATTTTCTCCAACATTTGATGTGGTTGGAAAATCTTGACTGCCAAGGATGACACAAGTTCCCCAAAGTAGTGTGAGAAGCAAGATTGTTGTTCCGGCTAGCAACCCAACTGCGGTTTGCACGTACTCTTGAGGACCCTCTCCTTTGTCCACAAGTCCAGATGCTGAGAGAAAGACAACCAAAAAAAAGAAAAGGAAAAGAAAACAAAATATATTAGAAGCAATTTTTTTAATACACGATACAATTAATAAACAAATCAGGTATAAATAAAATTAATTAAAAGAAATATACGATACGATTCGTTTAAATATTAATTTTATATAATTCATATACGACACAAACCCGATATAATACAATTCGTTAGACATGAATTAATAACCGAATCAGATATATGTAGAGTATTTTTTGATACAAACTTACCCAACCCAACACGATTGACAAGTCTACTGACTCCATGAAGATGTGTTAATAATTTTTAAGTTTTAAAATGTTAAAATAGGAGGAAGGAGCATTAATTAATAATACATAAATACTTGGTGTCCATGTCAAGTTCCTCACACCTCGACTAGCCGATCCAGCTGGTGTTGATAATTTCAGAAGGGCACAAACTACAAACAAACCATTGACTAAGAAAGAAGTACTAACCATCCTCATATTTTTTTGAATAATACTATTTAAATTTAAAAGTTTGATTAAATTTATAGACATAAGAATGTGACTTCAATAAACTATTGGATTAACAACAAATTCTAATATTTGATGGTTTCATAATCAATTCAAAGGTCATAATGAATTACGTTATTAAATTAAATTAATAAATTAAATTTCAATAGAATTACTCTATTTTTCTTTATTGCGTACCCCATAAGTAAGGCCTACCAATATTGACCTAGTCCACCGCCAGGCATCAATTGATATGTGGAAAGTCTAACTACATCTATGTCATGGAATAGTATTAGACATTGAAAATAAGTTGATAAAATAAAAGACCAAACTGACAAAACTCTTATACTTTAGGGGCAAAAATATTATTAACAGCTAAACACTGGGCAAAAAAAGAAGAAAGAAGAAAGTAAACATACCAAGAAGAATTAAGGACTCAGGAAGGGCACCAAGGATCTGGAATGCACTTGCACCAAACACACCAGGACCAAGAATCTTGAATATTCTCTCTCCTCCAGTAATCACATAGGACTCTCCATGAAATAACAGGTATTCATACACAACTATGAGGAAGAGATGACCCATAAGACTGTATGAGCACGGCAAGAACCCGTACATTTGCTCGCACCGATCCTGCTCCGACGAAAAATCCATTCCTCTGAGGAGTAGAAAAGAGGGTTCGTCGTCTTGAACACGATCGACGCCATCAGAAACGAACTCAGATGAACTGTACTGTTGTAACAATCTTCCGGTCACCTTGAGGGTTAATAGAGAAAGAACAAACAAAAAAGATGCAGTTCTTTTCCCAGAATTCCCCATTTTTCTGTGGTGATGATAGGGAGAGGAGGATGCAAGATAACTAGCTAATTGAACTTATAAATTTGGTTATATAGTATGGTTATTATATCAGGCTGACTGGCAGGAGAAAAAAAAGAAGTCATGTTGACAAAGTCTTGTTGATCATAAGTCAATGAGTGCTTATACATTTGATGATGTGGGTGATGGCTTGTCAAAATTCAAGTTGGAATAATGTAATTGAAAAAATGCACACTCTTAACGTGCCAAAATAAGACTGATTAAACAAGAGGTTTCTTGCAAGTTAATACTTGACAAAGGTGTCGATCGGTTCATTAGTCAAATAAGGGATGACATATACACGAGCTTGAAGCTCGAATTCTTCAGTGTGTATATAGAATCAGAGTTTAGCTTATGTGCATGACTTGCAGATGACTATCTCTATCTCCAATCTGAGGTTTGAACTTTGCAATAATGAATATGAAGAGTACGTGGCTGACACGATTCAAAAAAAAAAAAAATTTCTTGACATGATGAGCTAGTCTATTTTTAGACCATTGACCAGCTGTACGGGAAGCTTCATACCCATGTGGTTTTCTTGTATCTCAAGCCTCCATCAACTTGTTCCCTGACTGGCTGCTCTTTTCCTGATTGCAAATTGAGCCACACATACATGTTTGATATTGTCTATAATATTTGTTATTAGATGTCATCGTTCATGATAAACAAGTTTGAATATGCTTGTGTAATGAGCTTACGGATATAATATAGTCTCTCTCTCTCTCTCTCTCTGTATATATATATATTAGCCAATAAACTTTGTGAGGCAATTGTTGAAGAATCTTTGGTCATAATGGATTAGGTTAAAACTTCACCAAATTTTAGAATCAAGTGGTTGGCTAGCAAGAAGCCACAATCCAGAAAATAAACCAAGGCTGCTGAGCAGGGAAAAGGACGAAAAAAGGATTAAGCCTAGCAGGTTCCGTATTTGTTTTTAGAAATACTCCGTGTACCAACTAATGTTAACACATGCTAAGCACCGGGACTGTTTGTTTGAAGTATTAAAGTGGTACAAATAGGTGGTATTAGGAAAATAGTGTGTAGAATCCACCTTATATCTCGTTTGTTTGACATTTTATTATTAGTATTATTTTTTGGATCGTAATATCAACCCGACATGAACAGTGACTTAAATGCCTTGTATACGATACTATTGAATACCACCTACTAAGTGATATTATCTTCCCGGTACAAATGAAAGGACGGTATAAGAAACTAAAATGATACAAATGCCCTCATGTACAATTGTCTTTTTAAGTTTACAAGATTATAATTGTCTTTTTATCACCCATAGTTATAAATGTTGATTTTTTTAAGTAGGTATTACAAAAATAATGTTTGTGACAAACAAACAAGGAAAATAATGAGATTATAGTTTAAGGCCAAGTATAATATACCATTGAATAGGAATAGAATGAAAATGATTTCTAATACCACTCTAATCTAATACTCAAAACAAACAACCCCGGATGTTTAATCCGTGTTGGTGGGACTCTTTAATCTAACGCCTCATGTTAACTGTGAAAGAGATTTGATACAAAATACATGGACAAGACCAGTTAGTTCTGTGACATGATTAATGGACTTTTAATCTAATAGTACTCCTTATTTTATAAAAATTTTACCTTTTTTAAGTTAAGGGTTCAAGTCCCTCTCCCCATTCATTCTCTAAAAAAAAAAAAAAAAGTCGTGTGATATGCAATGGACAGCCCAGCTCAATCAAGAAGGTTATGAAGCCAAAATGCAGAAGAAAGTTTAAAAGAATAAATACGGTGTTGCTAACCGGCAATACAAAGTAATATAACAGTTATTCCACTAACCTTTAGACGGATCACGAGGGTTTCTTATTGTGGAATGTCAAGAGGTTCAGGCATAATTACTAATCTAGAAGAGCAAATCGTCACCGCAACACTAAGCACTAAATGACGTTACTCTTGTAGATCGAACTCTATTTAATAACTATATAGGAGTCAGAGATAATCCTAAATGGATATGAGTTACCACTAGACCACCTAGCTAATCTAATGATCAAATTTTAATTATTATTTCCTTTTTAAAAAGCTGGAATTATTTATAGAGCCTTAAATCCTTCATGTCTCTCCATAAAAAACTATGAAGCTCTCTCTACTTTTCTCTAAAAAATTCTCTCAATGGAATGGGCTGCGGGCTTACCGATGGGGGTCCATTCGAGGGCATCAATCCCGCACAGTCCTAATTCATGTCCATGTCCCTACTTGCCAAGACACAAATACAATTAATACATAGCGGGCTGGCCCATGACCTGGTGATCCACCAGGTTGATGGATCAGATCATACGTCCCTGGCCATTGTTCCACCCTTACTTACACTTACCAANTGTTGAATCTAATTTTTTTTTTGTTAAAGGGTCCTGGGCCTGTCAACGTGCCGAAATTTGGGCAGCCTTTAGCGGGCTGGGGCAACTATAATTAAATCATATTCCGTCAAATGATTGGGCCATGGGATAAACCACTCAACTCATGGCCCATCCACTAGTCCATGGTACGTGCTACATGTCAAAACATGGAGCGTGTCGGGTTGGGCCAACTACGATTTATTTTATTTTATTGGTACTAGTTTTTTTTTTCTTCCTCGTATAGTTTATAAATTGAAATCCATAATTTGAAAGTTTGATATTTGGACAGGATNATGTCGGGTTGGGCCAACTACGATTTATTTTATTTTATTGGTACTAGTTTTTTTTTTCTTTCTCGTATAGTTTATAAATTGAAATCCATAATTTGAAAGTTTGATATTTGGACAGGATTTTTAGCCGGGCTGATGGTTTAGATAGCTGGACAGGGACACAGCCCTAATACCAGTGCCAGCCCATGCCACAGGTGGGTTACTTTCACATACCGGGGACAGCATTTTGTCGGCCCAGTTATGTGCCACCACATGGCACAAGCTGAAGTGGCCCATGGACAGTCCTAATGAGACTATCACTCAAATTCACATAGTCATGTACTTCAAAGCTGACATATATACAATAAATGAAGAAGGAGAGAGAAGGAGAGTGAACCAGTCAATAATGATGATTGTTTTTGCAGATGATTTTCTCCAACATTTGATGTGGTTGGAAAATCTTGACTGCCAAGGATGNTTATGTGCCACCACATGGCACAAGCTGAAGTGGCCCATGGACAGTCCTAATGCCACTATCACTCAAATTCACATAGTCATGTACTTCAAAGCTGACATATATACAATAAATGAAGAAGGAGAGAGAATGAGAGTGAACCAGTCAATAGTGATGATTGTTTGTGCAGATGATTTTCTCCAACATTTGATGTGGTTGGAAAATCTTGACTGCCAAGGATGACACAAGTTCCCCAAAGTAGTGTGAGAAGCAAGATTGTTGTTCCGGCTAGCAACCCAACTGCGGTTTGCACGTACTCTTGAGGACCCTCTCCTTTGTCCACAAGTCCAGATGCTGAGAGAAAGACAACCAAAAAAAAGAAAAGGAAAAGAAAACAAAATATATTAGAAGCAATTTTTTTAATACACGATACAATTAATAAACAAATCAGGTATAAATAAAATTAATTAAAAGAAATATACGATACGATTCGTTTAAATATTAATTTTATATAATTCATATACGACACAAACCCGATATAATACAATTCGTTAGACATGAATTAATAACCGAATCAGATATATGTAGAGTATTTTTTGATACAAACTTACCCAACCCAACACGATTGACAAGTCTACTGACTCCATGAAGATGTGTTAATAATTTTTAAGTTTTAAAATGTTAAAATAGGAGGAAGGAGCATTAATTAATAATACATAAATACTTGGTGTCCATGTCAAGTTCCTCACACCTCGACTAGCCGATCCAGCTGGTGTTGATAATTTCAGAAGGGCACAAACTACAAACAAACCATTGACTAAGAAAGAAGTACTAACCATCCTCATATTTTTTTGAATAATACTATTTAAATTTAAAAGTTTGATTAAATTTATAGACATAAGAATGTGACTTCAATAAACTATTGGATTAACAACAAATTCTAATATTTGATGGTTTCATAATCAATTCAAAGGTCATAATGAATTACGTTATTAAATTAAATTAATAAATTAAATTTCAATAGAATTACTCTATTTTTCTTTATTGCGTACCCCATAAGTAAGGCCTACCAATATTGACCTAGTCCACCGCCAGGCATCAATTGATATGTGGAAAGTCTAACTACATCTATGTCATGGAATAGTATTAGACATTGAAAATAAGTTGATAAAATAAAAGACCAAACTGACAAAACTCTTATACTTTAGGGGCAAAAATATTATTAACAGCTAAACACTGGGCAAAAAAAGAAGAAAGAAGAAAGTAAACATACCAAGAAGAATTAAGGACTCAGGAAGGGCACCAAGGATCTGGAATGCACTTGCACCAAACACACCAGGACCAAGAATCTTGAATATTCTCTCTCCTCCAGTAATCACATAGGACTCTCCATGAAATAACAGGTATTCATACACAACTATGAGGAAGAGATGACCCATAAGACTGTATGAGCACGGCAAGAACCCGTACATTTGCTCGCACCGATCCTGCTCCGACGAAAAATCCATTCCTCTGAGGAGTAGAAAAGAGGGTTCGTCGTCTTGAACACGATCGACGCCATCAGAAACGAACTCAGATGAACTGTACTGTTGTAACAATCTTCCGGTCACCTTGAGGGTTAATAGAGAAAGAACAAACAAAAAAGATGCAGTTCTTTTCCCAGAATTCCCCATTTTTCTGTGGTGATGATAGGGAGAGGAGGATGCAAGATAACTAGCTAATTGAACTTATAAATTTGGTTATATAGTATGGTTATTATATCAGGCTGACTGGCAGGAGAAAAAAAAGAAGTCATGTTGACAAAGTCTTGTTGATCATAAGTCAATGAGTGCTTATACATTTGATGATGTGGGTGATGGCTTGTCAAAATTCAAGTTGGAATAATGTAATTGAAAAAATGCACACTCTTAACGTGCCAAAATAAGACTGATTAAACAAGAGGTTTCTTGCAAGTTAATACTTGACAAAGGTGTCGATCGGTTCATTAGTCAAATAAGGGATGACATATACACGAGCTTGAAGCTCGAATTCTTCAGTGTGTATATAGAATCAGAGTTTAGCTTATGTGCATGACTTGCAGATGACTATCTCTATCTCCAATCTGAGGTTTGAACTTTGCAATAATGAATATGAAGAGTACGTGGCTGACACGATTCAAAAAAAAAAAAAATTTCTTGACATGATGAGCTAGTCTATTTTTAGACCATTGACCAGCTGTACGGGAAGCTTCATACCCATGTGGTTTTCTTGTATCTCAAGCCTCCATCAACTTGTTCCCTGACTGGCTGCTCTTTTCCTGATTGCAAATTGAGCCACACATACATGTTTGATATTGTCTATAATATTTGTTATTAGATGTCATCGTTCATGATAAACAAGTTTGAATATGCTTGTGTAATGAGCTTACGGATATAATATAGTCTCTCTCTCTCTCTCTCTCTGTATATATATATATTAGCCAATAAACTTTGTGAGGCAATTGTTGAAGAATCTTTGGTCATAATGGATTAGGTTAAAACTTCACCAAATTTTAGAATCAAGTGGTTGGCTAGCAAGAAGCCACAATCCAGAAAATAAACCAAGGCTGCTGAGCAGGGAAAAGGACGAAAAAAGGATTAAGCCTAGCAGGTTCCGTATTTGTTTTTAGAAATACTCCGTGTACCAACTAATGTTAACACATGCTAAGCACCGGGACTGTTTGTTTGAAGTATTAAAGTGGTACAAATAGGTGGTATTAGGAAAATAGTGTGTAGAATCCACCTTATATCTCGTTTGTTTGACATTTTATTATTAGTATTATTTTTTGGATCGTAATATCAACCCGACATGAACAGTGACTTAAATGCCTTGTATACGATACTATTGAATACCACCTACTAAGTGATATTATCTTCCCGGTACAAATGAAAGGACGGTATAAGAAACTAAAATGATACAAATGCCCTCATGTACAATTGTCTTTTTAAGTTTACAAGATTATAATTGTCTTTTTATCACCCATAGTTATAAATGTTGATTTTTTTAAGTAGGTATTACAAAAATAATGTTTGTGACAAACAAACAAGGAAAATAATGAGATTATAGTTTAAGGCCAAGTATAATATACCATTGAATAGGAATAGAATGAAAATGATTTCTAATACCACTCTAATCTAATACTCAAAACAAACAACCCCGGATGTTTAATCCGTGTTGGTGGGACTCTTTAATCTAACGCCTCATGTTAACTGTGAAAGAGATTTGATACAAAATACATGGACAAGACCAGTTAGTTCTGTGACATGATTAATGGACTTTTAATCTAATAGTACTCCTTATTTTATAAAAATTTTACCTTTTTTAAGTTAAGGGTTCAAGTCCCTCTCCCCATTCATTCTCTAAAAAAAAAAAAAAAAGTCGTGTGATATGCAATGGACAGCCCAGCTCAATCAAGAAGGTTATGAAGCCAAAATGCAGAAGAAAGTTTAAAAGAATAAATACGGTGTTGCTAACCGGCAATACAAAGTAATATAACAGTTATTCCACTAACCTTTAGACGGATCACGAGGGTTTCTTATTGTGGAATGTCAAGAGGTTCAGGCATAATTACTAATCTAGAAGAGCAAATCGTCACCGCAACACTAAGCACTAAATGACGTTACTCTTGTAGATCGAACTCTATTTAATAACTATATAGGAGTCAGAGATAATCCTAAATGGATATGAGTTACCACTAGACCACCTAGCTAATCTAATGATCAAATTTTAATTATTATTTCCTTTTTAAAAAGCTGGAATTATTTATAGAGCCTTAAATCCTTCATGTCTCTCCATAAAAAACTATGAAGCTCTCTCTACTTTTCTCTAAAAAATTCTCTCAATGGAATGGGCTGCGGGCTTACCGATGGGGGTCCATTCGAGGGCATCAATCCCGCACAGTCCTAATTCATGTCCATGTCCCTACTTGCCAAGACACAAATACAATTAATACATAGCGGGCTGGCCCATGACCTGGTGATCCACCAGGTTGATGGATCAGATCATACGTCCCTGGCCATTGTTCCACCCTTACTTACACTTACCAATGGATCAATTTGTTACAAAGACAATGCTATTTAAACTTAAAATATTAACTTGATTAATCATTGTAATTGATTTAATTGGAAATTAAAATATTTATTGATACTCATTACGTATTCAATGGTTGTAAATGATTCAGTTAATATTTAAAGTTTAAATAATATTTTCGTTCGTTATAATCTAGCGACAAATTTTTGAACTTCAGATCAACGGAATTCACCACAAAAATTTTTGAAAAAGTTGGCATCTATAAACATCGGAAAAAGACCTTATAAACTCTGGCAATAAAAATTAATAGTGTCTAAACAGTGATTGTGGTAAATGTTGTCTATTCTGGTGTCGGAAAAAGGGTTGGCCTTTTACTAAACACTAGGAAATTTAAATCGGTGTTTGTCACGGCGAAAAATCAAACGTTAGTGTGTTTGCCAGAGCTGGCGACCTGAGATTACTATTCTTGTGGCTTTTATTTAAATACCGGAAATTTAGTTTTTTTTTTTTTTTTTTTGGGGAGTTCAACAAACCTGTGCACTAAAATCAAATATTCAACATGCAATACATCCAACAAATGATCCAATTCAAATCCTCAAAATCTACCAACCATTAAGGGTGAGAGTCTAATGATGATGTCAAGGTTCAAGATACGAGTTGGGTGCTTGAACTAAGGAGTTCAAGGCATGGTAATTACATATAAGTGAGTGTATAAAGGTAAATGAATGATTAATGGCGATGAGTCGCTTAGAAGATGAAAAGAGGAGTTGAAGTGAGGGTATGGAATCACACAAGAAGTATACTGGTTCACAAGCTTTAAGACATGACTAATCCAATGTAACGGAGACTTTTGTTTATGGAGGCTTGTATATTTCTTGAAGAAGAAAAAACAATTACAGAATACTCTCTTTTTACTCGATTAAGGGTTTTTGGTTTATATATGCGATGATCATGTCACCATTAAGTGGTCTCCTAGTTTGTTAGGAGTTTTTGAGAGAATATTTGAGCCCATTTGAGTATATATTCTCTAAGTTATTAGAGGTTACATTCCCTAGACATGACTTGACTTTCTAAAACATGTTGTGGTGATATAATGACTAGTTTTCCGGCTTGGACCGGCGATGACCTCATACGTCTCTGGCAAGGTTTGCTATTTGCTGAACATGCTTCAAGATGAGCTTCTTGGGACGAGCTCGTACATAAGGAGATCAGCTTAGTCAGTAATCCTAATCTCATAATGCTAGCTCTATTCGGAATTTCATTGGGTAGACCTGGACGATCTTTCTTGAGGTCATCCTTGACTGACCTAGGCTTCCTTCCTCGCGTAGTCTGCACAATGCGACATCAATATAATTTTAATCTCTTTGACCTAATTACCCTTGTTTAACGTTACCATTTTCTGGGTATCATCATCAAACATCATATTATAATGAACCTGGCACTATTCGAACAGGCAGTACTAATGCTGGACTCCAGCCACTCTTCTGGTCAGTGCCACAAAAAACTTTTTCTAACAAAATAAAGTAGGTGATCAACAAATTTATTTAAGAGATAACTGATCTCACCACAGTCATAAAAAACATAAAAAAAATATATTTACAATGAAATAAACTCAACCATTAATAATTTAATACTAAGAAAATGTTAAAATTTGACTAAAACTCTTTAATTATCAGGAATGAGAGTTTATTGGATTATCAATATGGGAATCTTGAATTTAATAGGAAAGAAGTTAGAAAAGTCCTAATATTCCTTAAATAGGTTTATTAGTGACCAAATCAAATAGGAAGAATTTTAATATAACACGAATAGGTTTATTAGGCATCTTATAGGAATCATAGAAATTTAGTAGTATCCAAACGATCAAATTTTCAGTAAATAATACATCGATATAGATTTTTGGTTCGTAAATATAAGTAGGGTGTATTAAGGTAAGTATGTTGTATCGAATTACGTTATAACTTTGTTTTTTTTTTTTCCTATATTTAAAATTTTTATTTTCTAACTTTTGGTATCAATGTTTATTATAAACAAGAAAAGAATTCAAAATAATCATCCTAACAACCGGTCCAGAAGAAGACTCATGAATTTAGAGCCTATGACAAGTAATAAAATAAAGACAAGCTAAGGTGATATGTGGTGCGAGTATTCATCTAGTCAAGGTAGTGGGCTAAGGTAGGGGGAAGGAAAGAAATGTCAAAATGTGGGGGAGGTACTACCGATTGGGCTGGTTGAGTGGGTTTGGACCAAATTTTTTACTTTGAGATTTAAGATTCGAGTTTTAGAGTTTAAATTGAAATTCGGTGGTTGACTGTTATGTTAATTTAACTAAGTTCGTTCAAGAGTGGTGAAACGAGCATAGTCAAGTGCCTCATCATCCCACCAGTAAGAACCTATCAAAAGTGATTTCTGAACTCTCATCTTTATCCATACCTTTTTTTCTCCCAAGATAAAAAAAAATAGTAAGGAAGGTAGCGACTAATTTTACTTTGTGTGAAACTCAGACAAACAACGATGTTTAGGCTTAAGAGAAGTGAATTGAGGTTAATCAAGTCTCATATAACCTAATGAACTATATTTTAAACGGTATATAAATATGAACCTTTGAATATTCACGGCATATATA